GGGAAAGAGCTTGGGGCAGCCAAGCTTTTCTCATGATTTTTTGTGGAGCTGCAGCCAAATAAAGGCTCTTTGTTTGAATTTAAAGATGGATACTTGTAATGCAAGTCAAATAGAAACACTGTTAGACCATATCATTACTTTAGGGGTATGTTACATTGCAAACATCCCTGAGCAAAACAACTACAGCCACAACTTTCAGGGATGCTATCTTGGTTTGGCTTGTGGCAATCCAAAATGACAGTTAAAATGCAAACAGAAATAATAGAGGCATTGGAGGAAAGGATGGTAGAAAACAGTGTTCCATTATAGACAAACATTATATAAAAAGCTTATGACATCTGGGTGTGAGTCAAATCTACAAAGTTACTTATCTATCATTTTTCCAACCTGTTATACCTGCTGCTTGAAACCCTCTTCACAGTCTATTGCTACGTTCACGGCATTACACAGAGTTACCTGTATTAGGCTAAAACATTGCTTAAAATAAATAAAAAACAATAATCTCTGGGCTGTTTCACACATTAAGAAATCCCTTCACTTTTTTACTGAGGTTAATATTGGTGTCAGAGATTACCAAGTGCTCATTTTGTGTAATCATTATGTAAGCAGCTAAATTGCAGAAAGACCAGCTCTTGGTAAATGTTCCAGTTTAATATTCCATCTCAGAGATTTCTATGCCATGTGAGATAATTGTGATGAGGTTTTTTGTCCTTTTTGGTTTGTTTTGGGGTTTTTTTGATGTACTACTTACTGTAGAGTATTTAACTGAGGAACATAATGAAAAATACTTTTGTTGTGGCAGATGAGCTTTTATGAATATAAAATTCAGGGAATTCAAAATTGAGGTTCCCACAGCAACCATGACTTGTTTCTTAGCTTCTATTTCGGGTTTAGAATTACTGGGCTAAATGCTGTTCCCCAGTTTTCCTGACTTTTCCCATGTTGATATGAAAGTTGAGATGAGAACTTGGCTCAGGATTTGTGGGTAAAAGAATATGTTTCTGTTTCCAATTTCTCCAAGATATAATTGTGGGGGAATAATTATTCCATTTTTTTTTTAATCTTTAAAATATATTTTTTTCAAGACTCACCATTTTCCAGCATTCATGAATAGTTACATGGACCAACATTGTACAGGCATTACCCTTAATGTTCCTCCTGCTGGGTATATATGTGAAGTAATGTCATTATTTTTTGATGGAGAGTGGGCAGAAAAAAATTAATGTCTGGAAAAAAGGCTTCCTGCTGGTAGAGGATGTAGAGAGACTCAAAGACTTCAGTCCTTCTAACTTTCCTACAGTGATAATGCATGAGGAAATTTAATCTGTGAGAGCTGATCTCAGTAAGCTTTCAGGGAAGTCTTCAGTCACCTTGACTAAGCTTTATAAAAACTTTTGTTGAGCAATTAAATCCATTGAAAAAGGAAAATACTTTCTTCATGGTGTCAGATCTCTTCTACCACTGTTAGGTGTACATCTTAAAATGTGTTCTGAAGTGATCACTGAAATACCTCAATAGGCAATTTTTCAAATACTGTTTCTAGTGGTGTGTGAAGGGGAGTCAGGCATTTTGATTGCATATTTAAATTTAAAACTTGAGATGTTACTCTGGTCTCCAGGATGCATCTGCCCATTTGATAACACATTTTAAGTCTTGACAATTGTGAGTCAAAAGCATTTGAATATTTGAGTTATTTCACTTATGGGGTGTTTTTAAACCACTGTGAATAATGTGGGGTTTTTTGATTTTAATCTTAATAGCAAAAAGTTTCTACTAAAAATAGAAGTCACTTCTAGTTTAAGACAAACAGGATAACATTTCAAGTAAAAAAATCTTTTCCAGGAAAGGATAGAATATAAATTGTTGAAAAATTGATACTTTAAAGTAATACTCATCTGTGGCTGTAACACTGCTGTTAATTTCTCTCAACTATAACCTAAAATAAGCCCACTGTTTTATTCTGTTTTTTTCTTTCAGAGGTAGGAAAGGACAAAGACACATACACAGATGATTCAGAACATGGACGTTATGATACTCGTACAGATCAGTCATTGCTTATTCAAAACAAGCTTGCAAGACAGAAAACAGAGTCTCGGACTAAATCATCTTTAAAGGTAATGGACACAAAACTTGATTGAATTTTATCAATTGTCAAAATGTGCTTAAATATTTTTAAAATATAGTTTGTAAGGAGTTAGATATATTGCAGCTAAAATAAGTAAGCATCTCATGGTAAGAAATTTAGGTGGCTCTCATACTGTAGTTTGACCTACAGAATCAGTGAATGGGATTCACTGCATCAAAAGGGACCAAAATTATATAGAGTCAAGGATTCTAACGATTTGTATCAACTCATCTAAGAGGCAGTTGCCTTCTTTCAAAAAATTTATATTGCTCAGAGTTTAGGATGTAGGATTCCTAGTATTCATGTCAGCTGGGAGGCCTCAAGACATTAGTTTAGATTAGACATTAGAGAGTTTAGAAGAACAACATTTAATTATTTATTTAGAAAATGTAGTGGTTGAGAGTGATCTAAAGTGCAGGATTCTCCTAAGCAAAATCCAAATGATAGTTAGGCATATTGAATGAAAGGTAAAATTCACTTAATGTATAGGAGAGTGCAGAATTATTTTTCAGGAACCTCAACTAAAGCAATGGGAAAACCATCTCCACAGCAGTTCACCCACTACAATACCACAGAGTTATGACTAATTTTCAGTTCAAATCACATGCCTCACAAGAGTTGTGTAACTGCTGTAAGGCTTGTTCTCTCAGTCACACAAACTGTCATTCCAGGATTCTGGAGGGTTGAGCTTTTATTTCAAGGGATGCTTTTAGAAAAGAAAACCTTAATAATTATAGTTATCTATTAACTTTTGGATAGGTTTACAGGTAATCATATGTACAGATTGGAAAGCTGTGACCTGAAAATGGAACTTTGGTCTTAACAGAGAAGGTTTATGTTTTAATCTTAACCATTGTAATAAGAACTTTCTGTGATCAAAGATTTTTGGCTGTTTCTGCAGGGCTATCTGAATTAAGGCAGAAATAATTATGGATGTTCTTATTTGATTTTGTTAATTAGGTAGACAGAGACTTTTATGTCAAATACAGCCTAAAAGAAAAAAAAATTATGCAGAATCTTCAGAATTTAGGCTGCCTTATAAAGTTCTAAATATATTTAAGAACAGATAAGGCTGCTACCAAAAAATGTAGTAAAAGATAATGTCTAACTAGTAACAGGCATTCAATTGTGCTGAAGAAAAAGAATTTTTAATATTTTGATGTAAAATATAAAATGACCACTAGCTGTATTTTCTCCAAGCCCTGCATTTGAAATGATATAAAGTCTATAGGCAGCCAGTGAGGTAACTTTCTATCCAAATTTGAAGAGCAACTTTGTATTTATATTAAGTTTAAACAAAAATGCATTTTATTTTTATATCTCAATCTTCCTATGTCCTGCTCTACTGAAGAAAGTGCTTCAAAGTTTAAAAACAGTCTTCTGAAGCCACATCTGGCTTTTAGCCTTGACAACTCTTTTTATTACAGAAATTATTTTGGAAACTTCCTTCTGCTTTTATACTGGTTTTGCAAATGAGGCAACCAAGCAGGATTCTCCTCCTGTGTACTGTTTGCCTGCCTCCATGGGAAAAAGGCAGAGGGGATTTAGATTAGTCTTGTTAGAAAAGAAGGTTACTATTTTGCTTTTGAATTATCGTACAAGTCTTCACGGCAATTGGTGGAAGATGTTTAAGGGAAACTTCTTTCCCAAACTGATATAAAACTAGCAAAAGGAGCCTTCTAGTTCTTCTTGATACTGTTGCAAGCACGGAAGACAGCTCTGCAGCTTTACAGATGGTAAGTGCTCTCATGTATTTGGAAAATAAACAGATCTATCATGATTAAAAAAAGGCTTCTCAGTCTGACCAGAGCACGACAATGAGAAACACTGCATTGGCAAAGCGCACAGGGATAAAAGCTGATTCTTATTCTCTGCTTCTTGATGATTCTAATTCAAGCTTGTTTTGGAAATGTTCTTTTACTCTGGAGAGACTCAGGAGGGAAAATTGTTTAAAAAGTTATTTGCAATTAATGCTTGGTACTCTTGTCTGTCTCAGTGATGAGCTGCTTGGATACTTCAGCAATAACCAACCTGTCTTGCTGACATGATTGCAGCCGAAACAAGCTTTTTTCAGGAATTTAGTGTTTCACATCACTTGCATGATGCTTTACTTGCCATAAATCTGGTCTGTACTGCTGCAGTTTTAAAGGTCTAGAAACATCAGAGAATTTTGATACAGCATCTGGATGCCTACATTCATCTTGATAATCACCTGCTTTTCTCATTTCCTTGATTATGATTTATAACTCATAATCTTCTTTCGTGTGAGTGGATATCATTTCAGAATCCACAGCTTTCATAATGGAAAACTGTGAGTCATTCAGACCCATGAAAAAGCTGTCTTCATTATCCATCTCTGCCATCCTCTCATTGCCAACTGCTTTTGAGATCGTCTAGAAAGTATGACTTCATGCAGGTGATTCTGCTGAGGGATCTCCTGCAGAGGAATGATGCCAACAAGGGCTGCTGAGCAAAGTATGGAATGAGTACAGTCTGCTATTGCAAGGGAAATGTAGGAAATGAGAAGGTGCCCAGCTGAGAAGTTGAAATTTGAAATGTTCTAGTTATACTAAGAAAGGAAAGCAGGATAAACAGACTTCATCATTTGAATGGCAGGCAACATTTGTCCAGATAACCAGCAAATTCAGTAGCAGTGAATTCTTTTCTCTGCCAAATACTACCACATATATAGTAGACACTTAGAAATATTTGAGAGATTATGCTTCAGTTTCACTCCATTACTGTTACTGCCTTTGATCCAATTAAATTTTTATCAGATGATTTTTTTATCTAGGTAGCATATTTTGCTATCTGGCAAGGCAGAGAGAGGATTCTTAGAACAAAGTTCACATATTATCACTGTGGCTTCAGGAACTATAAAGAAATTCTGCTTACACAGTAACTTGGTTTACTGCCTTTTCCTGGTATCCACTGATATCCACTAAAATACTGCATGTCCAGACCAGCTTTGTGTGGGATCCAGTCTGAAACAAGTTCTCCTTTAGTCTCCAGGAATGTTACATAACTTCTAAGGAATTTTAAGTAATACCTTAAATAAGCAATTGACCAAAACATATGGAGAATTGTATCTAATCAGCTGGATGTACTGCTGAAAATGGATTGTAAGTTGAGTAAAACAGTGCATTCAGTGTAGATTATTACAATGACTGTTAAAGGATAAATCTGTGAAAAACTGTAAAACACTTCTTGGGTATTTTATTGGATTCTTTGAGATTCTGAACATATTTATTCCTCTGTCTCCTGGAAAAAAATATTTTACTTACAAAATTTAATGTAGGTCATTTTGAAAAATGGACCAAATTAAATGTAGTATCTGCAGAATAAAAATGTTCTTCAGTCTTAATATTGTATTTTTCACTCATTTGCAGGAAGTCTTTTCATGTTTCATTTTTTCCTGTTTAAGTCCATAACTTTCAGAGTTTCAGATTTGTGCTGTATGTTTTAACCCTATCAACTTAGCACTAGTTTCACATACATTATTTTACTCTTATCCTTGCTCCTGTGTTCAGTGGAAGTCAGGCATGTGTGCTGAAAGAGAAGGTTTGGCAATGAAAATGTTTTGGTGTATAAATAAGGACGAGATGTTGTCAGCTGACAACAGTGTACTGGAAAGGAGAACAGCAAAGGGATCTGGGTAGATAAGAAGAAGTCCACAAATGCACACTAACAACATAAAAGAAAATAAAGCCTAAAAGGAATCATAACAGATATAATCATTATCCCAGAAGAGAATGACATTGTAAAGTGCAGCAAAAGTTAACTTCATGTTTATGCTTCTAGTACATGGCTCTCATCTGCTATGAGGTTTTGTTTAATAATAATAATAAAAGAAAGAAAGCTCAGGAAATATTTCAGGAACTGTAAGTAATTTTATCATAAAGATGGAAGTTTTAAAAAATAAACATATAAAGAACAAATTTCAGTGGTCATGTCAATGTGCTTCTTATTATGGCCTCCCTGTTAGACTTCAAGAGCAAATAGAAGTGGTTAAGTATGAAAAAATGTGAAGCCTCCTCCTGTCTAAAAACATCTTCCATTGCTGCTTCCTTATATAGTAACATAGAACAGAGTTCCTTGCAAGATTTTGCATAAGATCATCTAAACCTACTCCTTTTCTAAGCAAAATGTATTTTTCACATTATATATAAATGTACTTTTCATGCTTCCTCTAAGTCTGAATAGAAAGAAAATGGGAAAAAAAAGTTCTCTGTGAAGAAGCTAAAATAATTAGTAATTCTTTGTTCATTGGTTTACTCCTGAAAAGTAAAACTGCAGTTTTATTAAGCAGTTCAGGTATTTCTGGAGGTCTTCCTTCAGTTGTTCAGAAAACAAGTAGTTTCTGTACAGCGCAGTATATACAAAAATACATTAGGATGGGTGATTGCAGCAGCCTGGCCTGTCAACCAGGCTGTGTTGTCTCTGATGCCCAAGGTAGTTTGGTTAACTTTGCATATGCAAATATGTCCTCAAGTTTCCTTTCCTATATTATTCTGTTGATGGATCTTTGCAAAAGAAAAGTAACCCAAAACAACATAGACCTAAAATCAATCTCTGTTTTTGGAATTAAGGAATCAAAATTGGCAAAAATTGAATCTGTGAAGCAGAACAGTAGACTGAAATCAGTGGAGTTGAAATAGTTATAACTTCTGTGAATGGTGCTACTTTAATTAATTGGGGAGAGAAAGATCATGCAAAACAGCTGTTCCCACTTGGGAAAGAGGGCATTGCTTATTAATTAGAATTTGAAAAATGTTTTCTTGAAAAAGCCCTCCATGTTGGCTAAATCCAAGGAAATGCTTCTTGTATCATATTAACTAGAAATGTAAACTGTATTTATTTTATAACTTTGCTAAATAATTGCATTATACTTTTATTTCACTTTTTCTCCTGGCATGAAAACTTGTTTTGCTAGGTTGAATTGATCACCTTGTTTTGTCTTCTGGAAACTATAAACCTGAGTTTCATAATAAAGTCAGAATGTTGAGTTTTACATTTTCAGGCTCCGAAGCAGTATGTCATGTAATTTGTTATCAACCAAAAATGATGATAAATAATAAATAAAACCAAGGATCTGCAACATATCTGTAGTGGCAAAGCCTCTGGTAATAACTGTTGCAAACCTGTGTATTACAATTCTGCAAGTTTACTGTTGAGTGAGGAAGCACTTCACAGCTTTAGCCTACACAAATAGATAAGATTTAAAGTTCTTGTATTTAAAGCCTTGGAAGAACGTGGTTAGTTTAAAACTTGAGGTTGCATGTTGAACTATATAACAATACTCTAAAAGGAATTTATCAAATCAAACTTGAAGTTTTCGTATGTGTGTAGATGTAGGAAAGCAAATCCTGTAGGTGCTGTTTCAGAAAATCTGGAAAAGTAAGAGGCTAGAGAGGATGAAGAGGGTTAGAGAGAAAAACAAGCATTCATCAAACCTTTTATACATGTTTTCCAGGAGCAACAAGAAACCTCAGAGCGAGTACAGGAGAGTAAGAGCTTTGCACAAAGTATTTTGCTGATTCTTTTCTCTTCCACTCTGTTGAGAAAAAGGTGAAAGAATGAATCAGAGATCTATTGGTCCGAAACAGCAGATAAATAATAAATGTGCTTTAGTCTGAATGCCCACTGTACTCAAAGATTGATTCTCTGTGCTAGGTGTGATCAGTACACCTTGACTCATACATTTAACGGAAATAACTGCTCCCTGGTTCTGCTTAGGCATTATGGAGCTCCTTCAGCTCAACTGAAGAAGCACTTAGAGCAACAGATAAATTCTTTTACTGGCAGAGGTATTCCTGCTAGTAGAGTTGAACAGTGTTGCTTGAGAATTACAATAAAGTAAAGCTAGCAAAGTGCAAGTAGCATTGCAGTGAATCAGACCTGAAGTCAATAGATTATAGGCTGGATTCACTGCTTGGTTGTGGTAAGTGGCTTCAGTATTGCACATCTCAGCCTGTGGCAGGACTCACCTAAAGTGGTCTGAAATGAACATCTGGAAAATGTTTTTCTGCTATCATCAAAGCTCCTTATTTATGGAATGTTGCCCCCCTATAATTCTGTTTAGTGCAGATGAAGCTGAGGGCATATTTGCATACAGTTGTTAATCTGAGAAAGAAAACCGAGATTGAAGGAAAGCAAAAAATTGGCCAGACTTCTGGTCTCTTATATAATATGGGTGTAACGAGTCTTCAAATGATCATACTTGTTCTGAACAGTTTGTGTCCAAATGAGTGCTTCATTCTCCAGAATAAGATGATAGTTTCTCAGTTTACCTTTTCAGATTTCAAACTCCAGAGTTTGACACTAGTTGATACAGTCACTATTCTGAATCATGCAAAACACAGAATGCAAAAATAGCTTTCAGCAGCAGCATGTAAAGCAGAGGTTTGCATATCAAGGTCAGAGAATTCCTGGTGTTTACAAGCATGGTGGGAAGGAACTAGACAAGATTTAAACATTGCTAACATGACAATGAAGAAGCACTTAAACAGGAATACCCAGGAAAACCCATTCCAATCAGTGTAACATCTTTTTAATTTTTTTTTATTTATTTCTCTTTTGGAGAAAACACAGGTATGTTTGTTTTGTAGGGGTTTTAAATAAAATTTACCCAGATACAAAGCTGGTAAATTGATTTAATTTACTTTTCTTTAAATGTTATCAATTCCTACTTGAAAGTAAGGATTAGTAGAAGTTTATATCTATATATACCATGCAAGAATATTAATGTTTTTCCGCAGGTGAAAGAAATAGCTAGAACATGGGCTTTGTGGAGCTATTTTATTTTGCTTTGTTTTAATGAATTTGAAATCCTGACCAACTGATGCCTATGAACTGCTTGTTCTTGTGACTTATTCAGTCTTTTGGACATTTCCATGCTTTAGCAAATGCTGTGTTACATGGAATTGCTGACGGGGCTTTTTATCTTTATGATTGTAACATTTAGTGTATTTTTATTTGATATTTTCCAGGCTGATCCCATGGCATCATCAGGGCTCTTCTTCAAAGATGGCAAAAAACGTATTGATTACATCTTGGTCTACAAAAAATCAAGTCCACAGGTAGAAAAAAGAAGCACATTTGAGAAGAATTTGAGAGCAGAAGGGTTGATGTTAGAACGAGAGGTGAGTCTTGTAGCTCATGTGGTATAAGAAAACCTTTATAGTACTGTCATACTTAATTAGATATATAAATGATTCCTGATAATCTTACAAGCCTTTCCAATAAGGCATTTTAAAATGCTATTAATAATTAATAATTACAGTTGTTTGATAGCGTTTATGCATATATACCCATGCATGTACCACCCACATTATAGTAACTTCTAGGTTGGAGCACATGTAATGCAGTATAGAGGGAAACCTTGCATCTCCATATGCTTACAAAAGAAGAAGCTTCAGAAGAAGCTTCATGTTGTTGCTTTAATATATAACATCAATAGAATTCATGAGACTGAATATCTCTGTATCTCTGTTTTTAAAGGGGTAAAGATTTTCAACAACAAATTGATCCATCTCTAGTTGCCATGGCTTAATCTGCATTGGGTTCTTTGAGCCAGACTAGTTTACAATTTAAGTGCTACTGTACAGGCTTCTGAATTTTCTGTAATCCAATTAAAAAAAAATAAAAAATAAAAAAGAGGCCTGTAATTCTAATGTTATTTAAAAATTTAATTCTTATAAAATGCAAAGTTTTACTTACACATTCCTTCTCCCTTTTTTAAAATACTGAAACCTTTAAAAACTTTGAGTCTTAGAGTATAAGAAGGGGTTTCTTTTTTTGTTTTGGGTTTTTTTTCTTTTGGGTGCATATTTGTAATTTTGTGTCTTGACTCTGATCTGTTATAGTTTGTTTTCCCAACATTCCAAGCTAATATCTCTTCAAGACTCCTAGTACGGTTGCTGGTACAACAGCGATTAATTAATATTTATTTCTATGTGTTCACAATCAATCTTCTAAATAAATATTAAAATTTGCATTGCTAAAAAAGAAATTATTGGGAAATGTGATTTTTTAATTTTTTTTTTCCTTCTGTGCTGTTTGATAGTGGAGTGTGGTGGATTTTCAGGAATTTTCAGTCTTCTTATCTGAAATGATAGGCAAAAGTCTTTTTTTTTCCTCCTAGAACCATTCCACAATCATGTTAAATTATTGCTGTTGTGATTGGGATGTTAGTAATGACACTACTAATATAAAAAGGAGGGGCAAAAAAAAAAGCCAGAAATGTTACTGTTTCATTATTTACTTCTAAAACTGGCATATATTTAGTCTATCCTGAAGTAAACTCTTATACTTTGTGTATCTTTCATCCTGATTTATACTTTTGAAGTCTGCAGTATTAGCATCTGTGCTCTGTATTAAAGCAAAGAACTTGTAACTGTTTTGAAGTCCTTGGAAGTTCTAGCTGACCATGGAGCATGTTGAACATTCAAAAATAAATTTGTTTTAGGTTTTTGTTTGGACCATAGTAGAAAAAACAATAAATTGGATTTTGGGGTATTTCTTGAAACCAGAATAAGCTCAGCTGGAGTAAAATCCGAAGTCTTGACACTTGAGAGAAAATTTTCTAAGATCTGTTCATTGTCTTCTGGTTGTATGTTTTCATCCTCACCTAGTAAGTGAAAGAAAATCCTGGGAGTAGTGTTATTTCAGCTGTGATCTGACTTTATGGAATTGGTAGGTAGAATTGTGAACATCTTAAATTTTATTAAGCCTTTAACTAAATTTTCTTTTACCTTTACTTACCAAACCAGTTGAGGTTTGGGGAGTCTTTAATCAGGCTCAACTGTATCACAATATTTACTTATAAAAACTCAGGCAAATACATCTGGGAGAAGGGTGTGGAACTGAAATGTTCATAAGAAAAGATAATTATAGGAACCTGCCATCCTGAAGCCTCTATTTTATGCACAAATCAGTAATCAGTGAGTAAATCAGTAAGAAAAACGTGTCATTTTATAAAAAGTTCAATTAATACAGAGATCACATCTGTAACTTCATAGCAGAATGACTTAACCATTCCTTGGAGTTACCACTTGGCAGAATGGGACCTGGAGCTTTCTCTCAGCTCTTCTCCAGAAGCTGAGCACTAGGCTTCTCAAATGGGCCACACAAAGAAGGGTCTTCAAACTGCTCATCTAAGGTGGTTTTCAGGGGAATTAAAGTTCATTAATTTATTCCATGTGAAAAAATATTGCATGTAGCATTTCTCTATTTCTGCAGTGTTTATGAGCAAAGATCTATCCCACAGGTTCCTTTTGACAGTTGCTAGTTTAGTCATATTACAGGGTTTGGAAGAAAAAAAATAGTTACTAACTTTCCTCTGTCTAACTCAGAGCACTTAGAATGTTTTCGGTCTTGCATGGCCACTTCTGGCCTAAAACCAGAATTTGATCCTGAAGGATGCTTTTAGAAGGGTGAATGCCACAGAGGTTTGAATCATTAATATGTTTTTATTTTTTACTGCTCTTTACAGCCAGCTGTTACAAACAGTGATATCATGTTTGTTAAAATTCACTGTCCATGGGAGACATTGTGCAAATACGCAGAAAGAATGAACATCAGGATGCCTTTCAGGTATAGTGGAAGCTATTTTAAGAAAATTGGAATTTAATGCTTAATACTAGTACTTTGTTACTTACCTCAAGGCTAAATGCAGTCACTGCTGCATTATGCCCAGGCATGCTTATATTTAATTTAATGAGATGATGTGGAAAGGGAAGAGGAGAAACAAATAATAGACTTTTTTTTTTTCCACGCTTACCTGTGGTAGTTGTTTACAGGGTTACCTTCCAAGTCAAACTGAGCTTGTGTCTTTAGAAAATGTTGTTAATAGTTTACACATTGTTTAGCTTGTCCTTGGCAGAGGTTCAGATATTCCCCATCTCAACCCAAGTATTCTCCATGATTTTAGGTTATTTCTGAAGTTTTACCCAAAGCCAAGTGAAGTGACAGAAACAGCTGGGGGCTTTGGCTTCTTTGTCTCCCATATAACACATACTGACATACTTCAATGAGATAACCTTTATTTCTTGGTCCTCTAGCTCTCATTTTGCAGGATAATGAACTGAACTGAGTTCCTTCTGCTAAATTATTCCTATCGTACATTTTTGCAATAAATATTTGATATTTATTTGTCAGACAGTTGATATCTTCTGCAATAATATAGTTTTTAAAGGGGAAAATGTATATTTTAATAACGTTCTTCCAGAGAGAGAAGACAGTGTAGTGTGCTCTAAATCTCATCAGGGGTTAAAGTGGTATCCAGATGCCAAAGCTGTGTGGCTCCCAGGGGAAGTACCCTTACAGCACTCCTTTCTCACTTGCATTGCCAAGTGCTCTTTCATGTCCCTGCTGATTTCTGCTGTCACAATGTGGCTCTCTTTGGTCCTAAGCCAGAAACATTGTGAAGCATCCTTTGCTCAAATTCTTTCTTCAAATATCCAGTGCTATACTGAGTTTCCACATCATCCTATTAAGCCTTGAAAGTGCTTTCCATAAGAAAAAATAGCTCTATAAGTCATCTTCCATATGTTTGAGAATATTATTTTAGTCCCATTTGAGCTTCTCTAGATTAAGACTTGTCACCATTTTGAATATAGATGTGTTTTCATAGTGTGCACATAAACAATCTAAATTCCAATTAAAAATAGTTCTTTCTTGCTTTTGATGCTTGATACACAAAATGAAGTTAGGATTTAGCAACGTTCTGAGTTTTTCATCATTTTAGTAGTTTCACAGTTCAGTAGTACTCTTCAGGGGAAAAAAAAGTGTTGACTTTTGTAATACTACGTTTTTTGGAAGGCATTCAAAGTCCTGTTTGTTTATTATATTATTAACTGGCATGTAAATACATTCTCTTTTTTTACTTTTTTTTTTTTTTTTTCCAAAGTGTCTGATCCATGTTTCTGTGTTTCTGGACTGTTGCTTTAGCTTTGTTTTATCCCACTCAGTTCAGTGCACCAAAAGTACACAAAATGCTAAATTTTGCTGTTTAACCTTGTTGGCAATGTTGCTGTAAAATGAAACATACTGATTTGGTAAGATAAAAAACTAAATCTGTAGACTGATTAATTAGGTTAAGAAGTGTTTCTTTCTGTTGCTGAAAAGTGAAACTGCCTTCTTTTTTTTTCTTTTTTTTTTTTTTTTATGATGCAAGGGACCACCCAGCATCCAAGAACTCTTTTATTATGGTATTTTACCTAAATGTGTTGGCAGATAAATAGTTTACATCATATATGTAATATAGATGGAATCTGTGATTTAATTGGAAAAGGAAATTTTTCTAGCATTTCAAAAGACTCTGTGATAGTCACTGTTGTCTTCATATGGTTTCAGACAGCATTTATGTTAGCACCAAGGTTAGATAATGACTGAATTATACTTTTTTAAACAATTTATATACATATTTTTGTTAAGTATGGGGCCTGTCAGTAGAAATGAAGCTCTGTTACCTATTTCTGAAACTCAGACAGAAGGTTCATTTTATCTGTGTATAGAAGTATCTCTTGTGATGCAGAATGATTATGGTGTATAATGAATAAATTAGTTGTATGTGTAGCTCACCTGGACTCCATCTGTGCCGAAGAGGTAGGGGAAATTAAAGGGAATGAAGGAAGTGTTTTGTTAAAAAATGTTATGTCTGAAAATCCTTTATTAATTCTTCATTGCTTCGTTTACAGTTTGCCTAGTGGTACCAAGTGTCAGGCTGTAACAGCCTGCAGATTGGTAGATACAGAGCTTTCCAATGGCCATGCATTTTCTGGGCAACATTTCCTTCCCACTCCTTTTAATGTATTCATGTCATTGTCACTTGAATGTAAGTAATGTACTTTAATCAATCAAACAGTGCCCAGATGGGGAGTTGCAGATTTTAACTATGAATGGTTCTGGGCTTAAAAGTGGTGGAGAAGTAACCAGAGTGAAAGTGCCATTTTTGTGCTGGAGGGGGATAATATATCCACTGAAAACAGTGCTAAACTTTTATATGAATTCATTCAAATATGCTTGTTTTAATTTCGTCCCAAAAACCAAACCTTGCAGAAGTAGAAAGGATTTAGGCAAAATTTAAGTAGAAGATGAACTAAGCAAGGTGCAAAGTCCCTGGTGCTGAACTTCTCCAGTTAAGTCCCAGAGTTAAGATACAGATACCCTGAGGATTGAATCTGCAAGATTCCACTACTTTGTGTAGTGGAAATGTGACATGAAATTATAGGAGGAGACCAGAGAAAAGACAAACAAGCAAAAAACCTGAAAAAATTGAAACTACATGTGTAAACTACTACATTGCAGCAAATATGTTTCTATATAGTTTCAAAATAGCTGTTCACAGGCTTCACTGGGAATTTCTGATCTTGTTTCTCTAAGTTACTATGACAGGCAATGGGTTGAGAGAAAAGAACTGTTAACATACAAGTTGTTTGTTGCAGGTAATACTCAGGTTTTTTAGGACCTTGTATTGTTCTTCAGTCAGATGTAAAATGTCAGGGAAAGGTGATAATATAACATTTCAGATAATGAAGATAGTACCTAATGAAGTGATTATGGTATTCATTGCATAGAGACCATAGGCATTTAATAGACTGTTAATTTTTCTAAAATGAGTTTAGTGAAATAAAAGCTAAGAAAGACCACATGAAATAAATACTAGCATGACACCATTGAACCCTGTCTGATGAGTCATATGAATGTCATTCTATTTCAGTTGTCTTTTTTAAGTGTTTTTCACCTTTCTGCCTATGAAATTGCATGTTTTAAAATGTGCAGTGTTCTTTTATAATGTATATGTCCTTTTCAACTGTCTCCTACTTGATTATTCTCAGCTGATTTTTGCTGTTCTTTCAGGAAAAAATGTTATTACACTGACTGGAGGAGCAAAACCATGGGCAGGTTGGTGGGTGATGTGTAGCTTCTAATTTTGTCAGATAGTCACCCTGCTAAAGAAAATCCATTTGCAGTTGTAAATTTATCCAGGAAACTTGGAAAGTTAGATTATTTTTCTGAAAACTCAAAATATGTTAGCCCAAAGTGTTAAAATATTCATCCGCAAAGAGACGCAGTACTTTACAGCTTTGCCAGGTCTCCTTTTAGAAATGCAAAAGTGTTTATGCCAGGGGTAAAAAAAGGCCTTATCCTGACAGTAGAGCTTTAGTATTGAAACCTTACATTAATGTCTGAATAAAGGCATATTTCTTTAGAATGGAAGATACGTTGGAGTGCATGTCTCAGATTCTGGTTGTCAGCTATTTCCTTAGACATGCAAATGTCTCTCGTATGTGTCCTGGTGATCAGGACTAAATCAGAGCCACACACCACAGGCTTCTTTTGAATGTTTGTTTTATAGCTGACAGAATAAATTATATGCTGCTGTAAAAGCTATTTGTGACTGCCTGGGAGGCAGACACGTGCAAACCTCACCTGTGGCTGCTGCTGTTGTTACCATTTCTGTCAGCCAGGAGAAGGGTCCAAGAGGACACAGCAGGGGGCGAAAGGATCCTGGGGGAGCTGGGGAGTAAGAGCAGGGGCCACTGTGAACTGGAATCACTCCCCATTGCTCTAGTCAGATAATGATGTCTTGTAAATCTCAATTACCTACGGAAAAGATATGAACATTTTGACATGAGGGAAATCTCCAGAACCAGTTTCCTATCACAGGTTTTTATTTGAGATGCATCCTGAGATGAGATGACATTTGATTTAGGTTCTTCTGTTTATACTTTAGATGATGAAGAGCTCTCATTATTTCTCAGGAACAGTTTAAGTAGTCTCATGATATCAATTTGCTTGCAAGATGATCAGCTAACAAAAATAGACAAAGCAATCTTGAATGATAAAGCAAAGAAACTTGGAACAGATAAGCAGATAAGCTGTGTTGAGATAAACCAACCTATAACATAAATTTACAACTGCATTTTTCCTCTTCCCAGTCATTCACATGCTTGCTCCATTTTAGTGTGCCTTATGAAAAATTTAAGTGATGTGCTTTGTAATGCAAAGGCAAAATCAACAAGCTTTACTGCAAAATTGTCTCATTTCATCTGTAATCCATCTGGTGAGTACTAGCCATTAAATACATTGATTTTCTTTATTTAGAAGGACAGATGTCTGAAAAACGCAATTGAAGTTGCACAGTACCTGTGAACCAAGTAATAAACAAGTTTGGTGCCAGATTAACTTTTCATTTCAGACAAATGTTTTTACTTCTGAGAATTTGGGGATGGATATTTTTCCGAATATTTCCTCTGCCACTTTATATGAACCACTGTACAAAGGAATAATGTGGAAAAGATATCTCTAAAAATTAAAGCTAACTCTTAAATTGCTGTCATACACATCTCACCATTTGAACTTCTGCTACTGTCATTATTTCTTTGCATCTTACAACTTTTCAAAGTTAATTGCTTGTCTGTAACTTACGAAATCTCTCACTAATATTTCTAGGTTATTAAGTAGAATTTACAAGAGCTGTGATGAATAACTATATTAAATTCTTTGTATAGCAAAAGTAAAATGATAACTCTATAGTGTTTCTATAGTTTAAGAATAAAAGGCAACACCAGTATATTAGACTCTGTTGGGACATGTACAATTCTCTGTGTTTATTGACATGGTTATATGGTAGATGCATAGATCTATAAATGTTCTTTAAAAAGTTTGCAAAAGATTAATAGGAACATGAATGAAAGGACAGAAGTGTAATGCTTACTGTTATACTGCCTTATTTGTGATAGCTATGTGGTGTTTCTCCTTTATTTACATAGCTTAAAAAAAAACCAAACCCTTAGCATTGTACTGAATCCTATGAAGCCTGAACTCTATTCATAGGGCTACACTATAGGAATAATTTCTCATACGCCTTAAGAGCAATATTTGAAAAGCCTTCAAGCAATCATTTCAAAGGAAAAGAAGTTGCTAGAAGTGGGACATGGAAGTAAATAATGAACGTGTTAAAACTCTCAGTTCTAAGACTGAATAATCTAATGAATCAGTCTTGTGTCTGCCATATCAGATGCACTGATTCCATGCTGGTTAAGAATGACTTTGATGAAAAGAAAATTCAAAGACAGTTGCCCATAGTATGCAGGTTCACTCTGCCCACTGAAATGTTGAAATGAATTTATACTTCCAAGGATAGAGAACCAAAAATGTCTTTGTTTAGCAGCTGATCTGCAATAAGCCTGCTTTGCAAAAGGACTTTTAAAACCTTCTGGATTTCAATCTGCATCCTGAAGTGAAATTGTGAATATAATTCCATTGAACTAATAAAGTTTTGGGGTTTTTTCACTTATTGGGTCACAACTGTATCCATATATTGAATCTGTCAACCATAAGATATTTCCCACTACAAAAGGTAGTACCATGCTCAGTAATTTGGTTGACAGTACTGGCTAGTGTCTTGTATATTTTTGAGAGGTGCAAACACCTAGCGAAATACTGGGTGGTGATTGCTATAAAAAATAACATACTTGAGTAAAGCACCAACCCCTTGTCATCTCATTCCATAACTCCAATCAGATAATTCCAAATTCACCTCTGCTATGTTTCTTTGCATTGCAGTCTGCTGAGTAAACATAGTATGTGAGGATTTTTGGACTTCAACTAGTTCTGCAAAAAAGAATGACCAAGTAAAATCTCTAACAGTACATTTCGCTATGAAAACTGAGCAAAGCTGAAACTACAGGCCTCTACATAAAGTATTAAATTTGTATATCTAAGAATAAAATATACACGTTTCAGAATATCCCATAGCACAAGGTGCATAAAGTTACCACAGCACCAGCTGGAGCAGTTTCAGTAAGAGTGTGCCTGAAGTGCTGCCCACATCCTTGCAGTGCTGTTCCCCTGGGATAGTTTTTATCTCATTGTGTGACTTCAGGAGAGACTTCACCAGACCAGCTCTCTCTGCTTTTACTCTTCTTGGATAGACTACACTGACTAGGTTAAGTCAAGAATCCATTTAAATTGCTACTTGCTAATACTTAGTCCTATGATTTAAGCAAATATTTGACTGAAATTTGTTGTCACTTTGAATTTCAGTTTCTTTTTTAATTGTAAAACAGTGGAAACCAAGAAAAGAGGTTTCTTTTGCTGGATTATTTTTGTTTATGGGGGTGGGGTGTAGAAATCTCCTATGCCTTGTGAAGGCATTAAGCTTTGGAGTGATCAGCTGTAAGTGATGTAATGAAAAAGCAATCACACCTGAGATAAAAAGCCTTTCTGCGTCAGAAGAGAAATTGCAAATGCAACCTGGAGGAAATTTTTAATTTATTTGAATGCTGTTCTCCATAACTTTGCATGTTAAAAGGAGCACACATGGATTTTAAAAAGAGCTAATTTCTTTAAGATAAAAATTATCTACAAATTTTTTGGACTTCTGGAGGGGGGAAATGATCAGGGCTTTTTACGTAACTAATTCTAAGAGAATTTTATAATGAAAAATCTGAAATCAGATGCATTGTTTTTCTGTTCTTCTTCCTGATGCATCTGCATAATAGCCTCATTAATGTAGAGCCTGGGTTCTGGCTCTAAAAAACATCACCATGTGTAGAATAGAAAAAAGGTGAAGAAAATAAAGTGAAAACTGTACTTATATACACCATGTGCAACTTTGTACTGGAAGAACTGCCACAGGAACTGGTAAAGATAATCAGCTCAGACAGTAAGAGATTATTTGAGTAAAGCGTACTCTTAAGGAATGCACCTGCCTGGGAACAGGTTTCTGTGTTTCAACTTCATTATCATAGTTATGTGCTTTGGCTCAAAATGCTTAATATTAAATAGAGCAGTGTCCCTCAAGTGCAGTAGCAGTTACAGACAGAGTGTGCACCAATACATATACCAGTATATACCAAGAAGAACATTTTGAGAATTTTAAATCTAAGTGTAAAACATTTGGCTTAGATTTCTCTCTGCCATGGTGTCTAATTAGAGGTAGAACTTTTTTTGCTGTAGTAAGAGGTACATTTTCACAAAGGTCATTTTGCTGCCTGAGAGCATCCTACTGTGTCATCAGTTACTGCTCTTAATTATGAAATGGGTATCTGTGCTTTTGCTTAGCACAGGCAATTAAGTATTCACCTTGGATAAAGCTGATATTTAGCTTTACATTTTTTGTGGATATGAGATACATGTGCTTTATATATCATGCATACATATTCATTGAGTAAGTCCCAGATACCTCTGGAAAAAATATTATTTGGAGAATGTTTGTCTAAAAATCTAGACTTTTTCTGGATGTCTGATATGCTTATAGTATCATAACATATCACTTGTTTAGTATGAACACTACTCCTTACATGGTCACATTTCATAGCAGTTGAATACAAAAATAATGTAGGTCAGCAAGGAGTACAAAATTGAAGTGATAAGGAGGTAACTTCTAGCACTTAACTGCATTTCACTAAATTAACCCCTGCATAAACCACGTCCTGAGACACTAGGCAAGCTGCCAGTAGAAGAAAGCCCTTTATATTACCAGTATATAATCTAATTGTGGATACAAAAATTATGTTCCATTTGTGTTTTATAATCTTAACTTTTAGGAAACTGAAAGAAGCCATACTTAGGGTTTTTGTCTACATACTGTATAACCAACTATAAGATGTCCTTCATTTGATGCTTAGGTACTTTGTTTTGCAAGGCAATGTCAGCCCTTGGATTTTGAGGAAAATTTTGCAGGTGAAGGCTTTATTGAAATCAGAAACCCATAAAAATTTGATGCTGAGTTGTCTCATATTTTCTTTCAAATTTATGAATTTTAGTGTCCAAGTTGGCAGACCATGGAGGGAGGAGTTAATTTGCCTTGTCCAGTGAGGCTAGAGAGAGTTAAGTGGAGATATTCTTGAGTAAAGCACAATCCTTCAGAGTTATGCCAGATGAATTACCTGCAAAAGTTATTTTCCCCCGACTCAATACTGCAGTCTCATCTCAAGCCATAGTCCCATTAATTTTTTGATCTCCTGTGTTTGAGTAAAGTGTGCAAGACTGTTAATTTTGCTCTTTAGCTCCTTATTTTGTTTTAGTTACATAGTATTTCTACCACGACGTCGCTAAATCCGCAGTGCTGGAGACAGAAACAGCAAGCTTGTGAGAGCCCGTCAATCTGATTTCTTCTTGTCTCAGTTTGCAGAGAAATATGAGAGAGCTGAAAAGTTGGTTGCCCAGAAATCCAATGAAGCTTGATAAGGAGGCCCTGCCTGATCTGGAAGAAACAGATTGCTACACAGCACCCTTCAGCCGCGCCCGCATCCACCAGTAAGTGCTGGAACTGGAAAGCCAGCGCCAGAGACCACAAGGACTTTTTTTAAATTTTCTCACTTCTTCTAAGCAAGTGCCAGAGAAGCAGCCATTAACAGATGGTCACTGGCAAATACCCAGTATCTTATTTCATATTTTCTGTGAGTTTCTCTTAAAGCCAAAATCTACTCCCTGTCACTTGTTAATTTGATGGTCATGCAGAAGTATAGGCAGAAATTTGAGTGAAAAATGAACACTGCCTTTTTGGTTTAGAAGTTTTTCTTTCCATTATGTTCCAAAATGGAAGTACTTGCTCAACTTTGCTTTGCTTATTTACCTAATTTACTTAGGCAAAACCTGGCACAGCTGTTAAAATTGGGAACACCTGGAGGCAAGATAAAAGCAGTGATGATTTTTTTCGTCCTTATCAGATCTGCATTTAAAAAATGCTTTTGTTTCTGAAAGCATAAATATATATGCCAAATAAAAACTGTTCAGATCAGCATGTTGGTGGTGATGTAGTTAAACTGCCATAAAAATGGACTCTTTAATAATTTTTGAAGTATTTTGTGATAATTCTTTTAGGAGTTCAAAGTTTATTTAAAATAAAGTAGAGGTATAAATTAGGCCAAATAGGAGCTTTTTCTTCTCAGTACAGAAGCCATATGCTAATAGACTGACTTTACCCTGGAAAACAGAGTAATTGCATTATAATACCTTTTTTTTCCAATAATGAACTATATTGCATTAGAACAGTCACCTGGTTTTGGTGACATTATCAACTGTAATAGTGTCATTTTTTGGCACAGCTGAGCAAACAAAAGCTCCTGAATGTCAGATTTCTGGCCTCCGGAATCCACAGCCATCTGGGAAAGGATGCTTTATTAGTCTCCCTCCTAGAATTTTCTAAGGGAAAGTGGTTGTGGAGCTGCTATTCAAGTGTCCAGTGCAGGGAGATAATTACTTTTTTCTAAATAGTAGTTCTGGTAGTTCTATGACACAGACATCTGCCAGCTCATAAGTAACTTGAATTTGAGAGCACCTTTTCTGAACAGGTTTCTAAAATTAATCATATTCAAAACAGAAATTACCTAAACAGTAGAATATTTTAAAATTTAGTTTTAGTTGCGCTTTTTTTTTCCCAACAGTAACCTGAGATGATGATAAATTTATCAGAACTGAAAAGATGCTCTAGGGATGTAAAATCTTATATCATGTGCAGTAATCAAGGAGGGTAAAAATCCTGTAAATCACTGTAACAAGAAAAAACTTGAGAAGTTATATTTCAACATCCATGCATTGCTTTGAATATTAAAATACATTCATTACTTTAATAGTTTTACGATAAACAACAAAGACAGCTTCTTCAGCAATTCCACAAGAAGCAGAATTGTGCATCACATGCTACAGAGAACTAAGTATGAAGATGGAAAATCCAAAATGGGTGAGAATGCTGTTTTTTCCTAACCTGAAGCTTTAAAAACATTGTATCTTTACTTGCCTGAAAATGTATCATTTGAGTAAAATCAGTTAATTTTGCCATTCCATAATATCTTTTTATTCAATTAGTAAGAGAGTTGAAGGAATGAAGGAATAGCAGATCAACTATTTTCTGAAATAACTCCATGAAAATTGGCAATATTTTCCACCTAATTGCTCATTCCTTAGAATAACTTTGAGAGATCACGATAACTTGATGTAATCAAGAGCCGCAGTTAAGTTAACATGTACCTCAGAAAAGTGTCGAGTGTTTTCAAGGACTGGTGCTAGAAGGTCTGCTGCTGACCAGGAGTTCCAGTCCAGCAGAGTCAATGTGAACTGCACTTCACTTGTTTGACGTCTCCATGCAGCTCAGAAACAGTTGACCTGAAGAAGAATTTCAGTTTATATCAACACTGCTATTGCAGTTTATGCAGTATTATTTTTAGAAGGTCTAACCACTCATTTTCATTTGCAAAGAGGGGATGTATGTATGATTTCCTGTTTTCTTTGCAGGTATGATGATGTAATGTATGATTTCCATGTATGATGATGTATGTATGATTTCCTGTTTTCTTTGCAGCAATTAAATTAAGAATTAAATACGTAGAGATATATATTAATACTTTATCCTTATGAAGATTATAGAATTACAGAAAGTTGTTGCTTGAGTTTCTGAAGAAAAGCATTAGTAAGAAAAACATAAAATAAAGGTTGAAATCTAATGACTTTGAAGTTGATGATGGCAAATTTCATGACAAGATTAGTTTAGCTTTCTTTGTATATTGGAATGGACAAATCTGGAAACCACTGAAGTTCTTATTTCTTGGGGAAACTCTTAGCTGCAGGTGTGCTCTTACAGGCTACTGAATATTTTAATGATAATTATTAATGGTTATTTATTATTTATTTTTTATAATGTGCTTTGATAGCACAACAAATCTGGTTTTAGAAAGACTGAAGGAGCTGATGCAAAACTCTGCAGCCAGTATGCTGCAGAGCATTGCTCTGATACAAACTCCTTCAGCTGGCTTATATTTAAAAATAACAACAGTTAGCTTTTAAGCCTGCAGGGGTTTTGCTGCCTTGAGGATTGTCTGCCTGTACCCCTCTCAGTGTATGTCAGGTCATCTGCTCACTCAATAAATCTGTATCATATACTCTGGTGAATACAACATGAATGTAAGGATCTTCTCACACTTGGTCTGGCATGAGCACCTGGCCCTGAGAGAAAAGTTGCAGACACTGGCCCTCAGAAAGTTGCTGTAGTTTGAGCCAGAAAGCTTGAGGAATCAGCACAACCTTCACAAACAGTTGGTGGGATTATTGATTATTGCCACGTTTAGCAGCATCCTGAGCATCTAATATTAAGTTATATCTCAATATGTAACTTGAAAATTCACACTGCTTGAAGTTAAATGTGTTTAAAAAACTGGTACCAGAACTAACACTTTCTTTCTTTTTAGGTATTAATAGATTACTAAATAATGGAACATATGAAGCGGCATTTCCACCACATGAGGTAACCTGTTTAATTTTGTATGTGTCTCTATATTTAGATTACAGCTTTCATTAGTGTTTTGAGGTCCTACTTTATTTTTAATTTTGTCCTGCAAAGTTTTAATTTCACTGTGGAATTTGTTGAGACTTTTTTTATTTATTTATAGCTCTAGCTTTAATACTGAATTTAAATTTTTTTCTTACCTAGTGCATAATAATAACTTCCAGGAGCATTCTCTTACTGAACTGAAAGAATATTATAATACTTTATTTTTATGAACCAGATATTACCTGTGAAGTTCTTAATATCATTCTTTCCAAATTGTTCCAATTAATATGAAATTATTTTTGCCTGCCACCTACAAAATGTTGTTTTTCTAGTAGCTTTTGCATTTGATCAGTTAGAGAGACTGGTTAATTATTTCTCATTTAGTCTTTTCTGAATAGTTTGTTCTACTTGGTGGTACTTTCTTCATTAGGTTAAAGTCTACTAAAGACTCTAAACCTGTGAAGTAAATGAAAACCTTGTTTGACTTCAGGGGATTTTCAGACAGTCTTTGTGTATGGAAAAGATAGAAGCAAGTTACACTTCAGGTATTTCAGATGCTGACCAGTAGCTTGGTAATGAGAGCTCTGAACTCTGTGGCTGCTTGGGCTGAATATTGTGACTTGATCTTGTGTTTCAATGACTGACCAGTGCTTTAAAAATCACTGAGAGTAACTTTTTTTATATGGCATTAATAATTAAATACTGGGAATGTAGAGAAGGAGTGTTTTAGATAAATAATTGAGCATCGCTGTTAATGCTTCAGCTGTGCATTGCTGACTTCAGGGAAAAGCTTGCCAGAAAAACCTGTGAAGCTTTCTATAGCTGTCAAAGCCATGCTATCATATTCAATTTATGTATAATTTCCTTTGTTATGTCATCAGCTACTGCTTCAAAGTTTTAGCTAAGGTTAATGAAGTCATATTTTTAAGCCAGTCTTCCTTAATTGCTGCTTGGCTGGTGCTAAGGGCTAGTGGTTGAACATTACATTTTTTTTTTTCTTTTTTCTTTATCACACAACCAAATGAGAGTGAAAATCCAGTCCCAGTGGAAATGCTGAGGCTTGACCTCTGTTACAGATCAACGGTGCAGAAAGAAGCAGGGGGGATAAAAAGCCAGAAGCATTTGAAAATATAGAATATTGCGTTATGCTTTATGCATTGCAGTCATTTATCCAAGTGATGGAGAGAGAGTTGTTGTTCTGTTCCTGGGGGTTCCTAGACGTTGCAAAGGTCACACTCTGTGTAGACATTTTTTGTATGTTTATTTGCTGACTTTAATGAGAAATGGGTAGAATTGGACTCTTTGCTCCATTTAGCTTGTTTTTAACTAATCCTTAAACTAGAGGGTGAGCAGACTGTAACAAATAAAGAGTGTTCTTTCAGTTATGGAGACTGCTTAAGATTTCAATTAAATTATAAAAGTCTAAATGGCTAAGTTACATGAATCTACCAGGGTCAAGAATCTGTCTCATTGCTGACTCTAAAGTGCTGCTCTGGGGGACTCTGTGTCAGGTTTTCTTTATAATAACCAACTGGTGAGGTCTTTTTTGGGGGAAAAAGTTCAACTAAAGGAGATGTCCTGCTTCACAATTGAAGTAAATTTACAAATACAAGAGGTTCTGCTTAGGATGGTTCTAGAAATTTGCTATCAGCTTAGAAAATAGTACCACTGAAAGACTGTGTTTCTATACTTTTAAACAGGAGTTAGAGAAAGTAAAAGAAAATGTCTAGGAGAGAGGAGCCAAGCTAACATACCAAAAATTGCTAAAATTTTATAGGAGAGGAAAAAAGATCACGCAACATTTCATACAGATTTTGAAAAATTACACAGATTAAAGCATACAAATAAGCATAGATTAGTGGAACTGAAACAGTGTACTTGAAGCCATGTGAAGAGTTGAGTGGTTCTGTAAAGTCTTGTATATTTCTATCATTAATTCTCAGCAAAAGTAGCCATTTCACAAGTATAGGTACCTGTATCTCTTCTGTTAGACATAAAATCAGCTCCATCTGGCATGTCCTAGAGGTGTCTGGAAGAGACCTACTTATTAAAAATAGTGATCACCTCATTTAAAATACCTCTGTAGTTTTATGCAGTGCCAAGTATTGTACATTTTGGACAGTGATGTATTTTCCATAGTGCCAGGTAATGTACATTGTTTTTCTTTGTGTTTTTTAGGGAAGCCACAAAAGCAGACATCCCATCAAAACACATGGAGCTCAGAATCACAGACACCTCTTATATGAGCGCTGGGCACGGTGGGGAATGTGGTACAAATACCAACCTCTTGATTTAATCAGGTATTAGTACTTTGAAGAGTAGCTTGTTTCTTGTTGACACAGCCTGGTAACAGTGCATTAACTGTGCTGCTAAATTCCTCTAATAGCTTTTCAATATTATCAGGTAAGACTGGAGTCATCCCAGTTGTTTCTTTTGGGTGGTCTTTTGTGCAGGGCTGCTCATTTCAAATGAGACTGCATGAAAGGCAGGTAGCTCCAGCTGCTTCACAGTTTGCATTGTGAAACTTAAAACTCAAACCCATGAAGTGTCTGCTGACACTTGCCCCTCACAAGAACACCTTTGAAAGCAAACACGTTACTCACATGGACAGTCAGAATTGCCAGGTCCATTGGAGGGAAAATACAGCCTAATTGTTACATTGCTGCATGAGTTTAAATAAACTTCTGTTTATGTATCTTCTAACTATTGTAATAGATTACCAAATGTAAAGAAGGGAAATACGTGCATTTGAAGTTAAATTATTGCAGTTTTGGGGTTTTATACTTTCCTCATCTTTGACATTGAATACCAACAACTCAGTTTGCCTTGCTGTCAGTTTTTATTCCTGATCTGATAGTCATAACTAATCATTGTGTCCAATATTGTTCTATTGAAGGCTGTGAAGCCAAACAAATGCCATGGAACAATTCTGTGCTGATCAAATAGTGTTATCCATGACTGAGTTTCTGATGACTGCTACTTCATCTCTTTTAACTACTGATACCCAAGTTTTGAAGGATTACAGCTCAGTCTTCAACTTGTGTTTTCAGTCCATTGTTTTCTCTAAAAGTAGTTTGAAATATGTCATTATATTATCTATCATAATGTTTTTTAAAGTGGAATACTTAAGTCATACCAACTTAATGTATCCCTTTCCAGAATTTGTGTGTCTGTCTATCTAATCCATCTATCTCTGCATGTGCAAATGAAATGTCCTACATTTAACAAGTTTGAAACTAGTACATCTACTTAGCCATTGCAAGGTCATGAAAAGTACAGAGTATTTCAGTTACATCTTTAGAAAATACATATTCTGGTAAGTCTGTAATTAATGTGATTAGAATGTCATGCTAGCCTGAAATAGAACTTTTTTGGTAAACTGACAATGATTTTACCATAAACTTGCCTTATTAGAATTATTCTGATGCTGTGAAGATACATAGATAAGTCATCATAAGTCTTAACTTTGAGCAATGTATGTGTTTCCTTTTCACGTAGGCGATACTTTGGTGAAAAAATTGGACTGTATTTTGCCTGGTTGGGCTGGTACACTGGAATGCTTATCCCTGCTGCCTTGGTTGGGCTCTTTGTGTTCCTCTATGGGTTATTTACAATGGATTCCAGCCAAGTAAGGTAATGTACCATTTAAAAACATAGTAGCCTGTTGAAAGTTAAGAACAGCCTGATACAACTTTGATCATTATTATACTTATAAATGCATTCCAGGTATAGTAATAATTTAATTACAGCCCAGCAGAACAGTGGGTTCTTAAGTCAATTATATCCACTTTGTATATCTGTTTTTCATCAAGCTGGATGCTTATCATTCACAGCAAGTGCCCTTACTGCTGCCTCACTGTGACTCCCCTTCTCCTTGTAAGGAAAAGCAGCAAGTACCAATTCTAAAGTTGCAGGTTGTCATTTGAGTCAAGGCTGACAGATGAAAAACCACTCAGACATACTCCTCCTTTACCTCTGTCTTGTCTGTAACTTCCAGAGTGTAGTACAGTTGCTAACCTTCAGCTTACTTTTGTCTGTGCCTTTTTTTTCCTCTATGGTAATAGTGGCCATTTTTTTGTCTCACAAAATTCTTCACTATCTCAGTCTAAACTGCAGCCAGGAGACCTAGCTTCAGGGTGGTTACAAACACATGAAATTAAGCTAGTTTTTTAGTTTCCCACCATTTTGATTTTGCTCTGAAAGGGGTTTACATCAATTAGAAATAGTCATCAGGGTGCTTGAGTGAAGTGCTGGCAGAATTTTTAGGAACTGCTTCAGAGGATACACCCTTAATATAGTTTTCCATTTGGTGTCATCAGACACAACAGTATCAGTGCTCTAAGAATTTCAAGAGTTGCTCCCAGCAGCTTGGATGCTTAAGGCCCCAAGTGTACTTGGAGTCAGATTTGATAGGAACTGTCTCTTGGGTTTGAGCAGGACTGTTTTATGTTTCCTTTATGGACTTGTCTTTATCTGCTATTTCACAGTGAGTTGTTATATTCTGCAGTGCTGTAATTAAGGCTTTTTTAGGCTTGCCTTTGTACAGGAAACTCCTGAGGGACTTTGCAACTTCAAAGTGCATTAAATGTAATGAATGTATCAGCCAGAAAACTCTACTATCTTTTGGATGTTGTTCTCTTTATTAGGACTGTTTTGCACAATGAATGTCTGCAAAATGCAATGGATGGAATATGAAGTAGAGAATCAGCCTCTTAGAGCACAGGGACTAGGACTATGGAGCTTGGAAGCTTTTATTCTTCCCGTGTACAATGCCATAGTTTCAACAAAGGGGGTATCTTGTTATCAAGTTATAGCTTAATATTTTAGACACTCTTTATGGAAGAGATTTGACTTTGATGTTTCCCCAAAAAAAAGGACAGGATTCCTAAGAATTTAATTTTTTCAAACTGTAAGCTCATCTATGTGTCATACACTTCTGAGAAGACCTGGAGATGTGACTCCTGCTAAGCTTTTTTAACAGAGAGAGACAGTTATCTTCCTTGCAGAAGGTTGCAAGGTATAAGCCAAAGAAGGGCAGAGGTAGCCTAGGTTTCATGTTTTCCTTCTGAGTTTTTTCCTATTGGCTACTGTTGAGCAAAAAGAACATGCAGATTTTAGTTTGTTCCCCATGGAGGCTGGTTCTATCCTGAGTGTCTCAGTGTCCTGCTGTGCTGCACAGAGCACCAAGGTTCCCATCAGGAGCTCAGGACTCTGTTCCAGAAGCCTGAAAGTGAAATTATCCACCACATAAGCTCTAGAAGGGGAGGAGGGCATTTGTATATATATATATTTTTTTTTGTAGCTAACATGAGCTGGTGTTCATTTCAAAATACTGACAGAGGTCGAAGCCCCAGTTATGTGCTCTGTGGTAGCCCCAGAATATCTGTAATCTCATTGTGTTAATTCTGGACAGAATTATGTCTGCCTTTGATGGTGTGAATCTGTGCAGTCCCTCTAGTTAGCCGTGACACAAAACTGTCACATCAGTGCATTGCTATGACCAAGTTAATAAGACCTGCTGTGAGACATTGATTCAGGAATAGAGCTTAACTTACTCAAGCTGATTGTGGCTGGTCTGATAAAACATATGCAAATGTTTTCTGCATCACCTTATGTACTTACCTAATTCCAAGGGCCAGTGATAACAGATGCTGCTCCTTGCCATATTTGCTTACTTAGCGTGGCAGGAGTTAGTGAAGATTAGGCAGAAACCTTCTACCTAGAGCAGGCAGCAGTTGTCCTTTAGCTGGCAGATGGTCTGCACAACCTAAATGTTCCTATTCTTGCCATATTCTGGGACTGTGAGATTATTTATCTAGTGTTTCTGCAGTCATTTAAAGAAAACTGCTAGCTAAACATCTATAACAGTTTTAAAATACAACATTTGATTTTAAGCACTGCATCTACTGCATTATGCAAATGCAATGTTCAGCAGCCATCAGGAAGAAACAGTTGAGTACATTATTCTGACAAAAATCTAGACTCAGGAAACCCAGTGGCAGTTGGGTATTCAAACCTAGTGCCCAGGGCCTTATAGCAATGTCATAACTGCCACATTGCTCCAGATTCAGTATGATTCAGAGTAATACTACTTAATGTGAAACAGGTTTCACCCTGTTAATGCCTATTATTTGGAACTGATGCATGACAGGAGGTGTTGATTTTACAGTAAGGTGAATTCTATAAACCTCCCTATTTTTTCATCTGACTGCTATACCACAAAATTTGAACTTACTGATGGATCAAATAACTTGCGGAAGCATGCTTTGCTCAGGGGTGTCCCCTCACCTCTCAGGTAAAGGAACCTGACCTGAGCCCCTCTCTGTGGCTGCAGGCAGAAAACAATACTTCTTTTTTGGCTGAGGTCCAGCCCAGTTTCAGCAGAGAAGGAATAAGCAAATCTGTCTGTGTACATTGCTTTAGAACCAAATGTTATTTGCAATGCCAGCCATAGGTTTTGTGCAGCAATAATTCAAGGGCTCTGCAGAATGATGTTACTCCTAGGAATTAGTTTGTCTCGTTTACAACATGTACAAGTGCCTCCCTCTGCTCCATGCTCTGAGTCCTGCTACCAGGTGGCTTATATAAGATAAAAATATTATATAAATATAAAATATATATTTATCAGCCTGTGCCAGGACCCCAAATCAGCTCAGCATGGGACCGTCAGTCCCTGCCCTCTGGGTAAAGGAAAAGCTGTGTTGTTCATCTGTGGCTGCCACAGGCAAGTTGGAAGTGACCCCTTTTGGTGATGTCCTTCCTTGTTTCCTAGGGAGGGGGCCTCTCTCACACTGCCTGTGCCTCTTGTCATTGTCTCTCTCTCCTTTCCCCAGTTACAGCTTTAGTGAAAGGATAAACTTTCAGGTCTGAATTCAATAATTCAAATGATTTGTACAGTGAGGAGGAAGGTGAAACAAGACAGGAAGACAAAAAACCTGCTTGCGCACTAATGTCAGGGGCTAGACTGTTCTATAAGGAAACATGTATATGTCCCATGTTGAGAAACAGAAGTTTCTCTATTTTACAGTCAAGGGCAATTTTCTTTCCTATCACAAAACAAGTGCCTAAGATGGGGCAGTGTTACTGAAAGCACATTGGAATGGAGGATGTTCTTGCATAGGTTTGGAATAAAACTTGGTGATACTGTGGTTGCCAGGAGCCTGGGGTACAGAGATTTCAGAGTTGGCAGTTCATTGTAGGTTTCTGTTGTGAGATGGAGGTAACCAAGAGAAAAATCCAGAGAAACTCTGGGTTTGCTTTATATTCACAGGCCTCAGACATGCAGAAGCAAAAGTGCAGAACAAAATTGGTATTTCTTGTTTCATATATTTTAAGTATATTTTGATCCATTTGCACTCCGTGAGCTAAACTGGGGGAATTGTGAAGTGACAGTCCAACAGAAAGGCTTCCATAGTCCTCCTGTAGCAGTCCCTTCATTTGGGTTCTTTTATTCTTCTCAAGTTAGATGTCAAGCTATTATATGTTGATTAATCTATATAAAATTAAATCTGATTAATTTAAAGGTTTTAGTTTTGTTGGGTTCATACATGTAATTCCTTACCACTGTTGTATGTTGACCCTTTGTTGTCAGTCAAACAGGCCAGGCATGAACACAACATAGCCTGAGGTGTCTTTGCAGCATGGGCTGTAGCCAGATTCAGATCTATAAGTAAGGACAGTGCAGAGAAACTTATTTTGCTCTGTTATACAGAAGATTTGAGTTGCAGTAACAGTTACCATAGCACCTGTCACAAACACTTTTGTAACAAACACTGTTGCCTTTGCAGACTAGTGCTGAAGCATCTGACCTACCACTGTCAGTGTAATTTTGTGAAGATTCATATGTTATTAAAAACAAACCAAGGTTTTAACTGAAGATTTGTAATAATGAAAAATCTAACATTCATAATAGTGACTTTAAATTCAAAGTGCAGTACAATTTGACATGATATTTAACAACAGTTTCTAGGATTGCCAGACTGCTATAACATATTGTTGAAACATGATTTTCTGTGTTTAATAATTTGAATGAAAATGCCAGCAAGAAAATTCTCTGACCTGACACACTCTAAGATGCCTGTTACTCTTCAAGTCTGAAAGGACTGGCTGTGCCCATTCTGGCCTAAGAATTACTTAGGACAATTTCTTTGTCAGATCTGCATTATGTTGTAGGGTTTCAGTGATTCTAATATGTGGCTGAAGATTTCAAAAGTGGCATCTGGGCAATCAGGATCATTTATTTCTATTTACTGTTATATCAGACAGTATTTAATAGATGCACTCATTTGGAAATAAGCATAATCTTCCATACAGTATTAGAACTGTAAATTTGGCTTTTATGAGTAGGAGAGTGAAAGCACAATGTTTATTAAACAAATCAGTAGGAATTTCCTGGCATTTTTTTCTATAGTGCTACCTTCCTAGTGTGTCATAGGATCATTTCAGTCATGTCAACATTGCTGAAGGATAGGGAAAGGTGTTGATGTTCTTTGGGAATCTTACCTCTGCAGTTGAAATTTGCCTTAAAATTATTTTTTGCTTTTTTGCGAATTCTGTTTGCCTCTGTCAAGGCACTTAATTATGTACTAAGTTTTGAATATGAATGGTCCCAGTGAAGACAATGACTTCATCTTCCTAAATCTTAGGATCCTTCAACATGAGAATGTGGCTTGGTGATATTTTGCCCCCAAATTGGATATTAAAGTGTTTTGGTTTTTTATTAGCCATATACGTAAGTGATAGGAAATAAAAACACACAGACTTGAAATAATTCTGCCAGAAATCCCTGTCAGTGGATTTTTACATGTGACTGATGATTGATGTGTGTGTGTGAGCATCCTGTGGAACAGACCTTCAACTGATGCAAACTGGAATAAGCTGAAATCAGTGTAGTTAAAGTGTTAAAGATAACTTTTGTTATCTTCTGTGTTGCGTAGAAAAAATATGAAGTAAACAGGTTGGAAGACAGTGAACAATGTTTTGTTCTTCTCTTTGTGGAATTTGAGAGAAAATGGGATATTCACAAGTGTGAGAAGTGTAGCATGATGCCTAAAAATATTACATACTACTGTAGGACCTGTAGTTTTCAGGTTACTCATTCGTGTTAAGCTTTTCAAGCCAAACATTCACTTTTAAATTATTTTATTTAGCCATTTTTGTTGTGTAAGCATGCTGTTAACAAATAGAGACCACAAATGGCATAACCTCAGAAAATCTTCAAAATGCTAAAAGCCTTTTTATAATCTGTATTTTCCTGTCTCATGCTAAAGCAAAGAGATCTGCGAGGCCAATGAAACCATCATGTGCCCTATGTGTGAACGCAATTGCACGCTACAAAAACTCAATGAAAGCTGCATATATGCCAAGGTAATTACTGTCTTACTGCTCCCAAGATAATTATTGTTTAAAGATCCACTTTCATTGTGTAATGGTTGCCCATGTTTCAGCAAAGATTCCTGCAAAACGTGTTGTTTCTTTACAGTGATTTTTTTTTTTTCTCAGCCTTTGTAATTTGTGTTTCTAATATGGGAAAGCTCTGAAATTACCAGAGATTATTCTAACATTTGTTTTACTTTCTGTGAGTGTTTCCTTCCTAAATCCTTGTTAAAGTAACTAGTGATAGGATGAGAGGAAATTGCCTCAAGTTGCAGTAGGGGAGCTTTAGATTGGATATTAGGAAAAATTTCTTGACTGAAAAAGTGGTCGAGCATTGGAACAGGCTGCCCAGGGAAGTGATGGAATCAGCTTCCTTGGGGGTGTCTGAAAAAACACGTAGACGTGGCACTTTGGGATTTGGTTTAGTGGGCATGGTGGTGTTGGCTTGGTGGTTTGACTTGATAATCTTAGAGGTCTTTTCTAATCTCAGTGATTCTGTGATTCTATTCTGGAAAGGTTTGTTTGTTTTTTTTAAAACTGCCTAAAATTAGCTTCTTATACTCCTAAAATAATTCTTTAGTATAATGTGCAAGTGATTTGCTTTGCTCTGTCAAACTAATTCAAAGATTTTACACAACTAATATTTTCCTACAAGGAGCTATCCTTCAAATTAAATAATCAGAAGCACCTTTGTATACATGCAGTGTTTTCAAGTGAGCAATATATTTGATGTGTGGTATGTTCAGAGTTCTGGAATTTTCTTGAAAGTCTTTATCCTATAATATAAATCTTGCTTAGGAGTCTGCACATATAAAATGTGATTATCTCTCAGCCATGGCATTACAGCAACACTGCAGCAATGAGAAAATCAGGGTTGTGCTAGATTTCAAAATTTCATATAGATAGGACCAATTTTGAGTAAAACTCAACATTTCAAACCTGTCTGTGACAGAAAATCCCCAAAGCATTTGACATTTATTAACAATATTTCTTTTTAGATTTTACACATGTAATTTATATTTTATCATATGCAAATAAAAAAAATTAAAAAGGCAAAACTGGTTTTTGTTTTTAAGCAGTGCTATATAACTCTACAGCAGAAAATGGCTCTGTGAGATTGTTTGTAACTTATTTTTACTAATTTATTTTTTTTTAAGATCTGTGTTGAAGGTCAGAGCTTTCTTAATTGAAATAGCATTATGCATGCTATACAACTCATCCCTTAAACATCTCTTTTTAGAAGATGACAAGGAACTTCAGCAGTCCATGTTAGTTTAACAGGAAATGAATACATTTTTCACTTTGGCATCCCTTTAAATTTAGGTCCTCTTATTTTAACATCACCGGTTAATAAGAAGCAGTTTTTGTGTCTTATTTATATTTACACTGGCAGCATGTGCTTAAATCATGCAAATGCCACACTTAATGTCACATTGTGAATAATTCATTGCAGCAGAAAAACTGTGGCAGCCCATCCGTATTTCCATGTATTTTCAAACCAATGCTCTCAGATGACAACCAGAGAAGACAAGCAATAACCATTCATACTCAGTTTTCACAGGCACCAGTTTCTAATGTCTACAAATATTATGGAAATTCCTGTAAGCTCCCAGCTTTTCCTGCCAATGCTTTTGCTCTGAAATATTGATCAACCTTATATGGAACACAGAAAACAAGCAAAAATGGTCTCCTTTTGGAATTTGTCTGTTCTGGATCTCCCCCAGGTGGGAGAGAGAGAGAATTCTCTTTGGGAAGGAGTCTCTGGCCACTCAAATGAAAAAGAAAAAAAAATTTTAAAAAAGCTCACTGAGGCTGAGTTTGTAACTGTAATGCCTTCACTCACCACATTGTCTCTAAAGAAAAGTTCCCCTCACTAGGAAACATCTGGTTCATGTGTTGATGTGTGTCAGCACTGCCATTGTGTTTGCACCCAAATTAGTGAGTGAAAACAAATCTGTAATGTTAGGACACTATGGTCTGATTTCAGATCAAATGTTCCTTTGTACTTTCTGAACTAATGTTTGTAGTATGAATAAGTGAAACTAAAATATTTTAATAAGGTATGAGGTCTTCTCTCTGGGTAAAGAAAAAGGCATTTCCTGCTTGCTTGCTTGTTCCTGAGATGGAGCTTGTCAGCATTTCCCTCTGCTTCTGCTGTGGGAACAAAATTACTTCTCTTGTCTTTCTTGCAAGACAACCAAGAGGAGGGAAGCTATTACACATACACATAAGGAGCTGATAGCAAGAGAAGCTATTCCTGATTCATTCCAGGCAGTGACACTCTTATTCTGGAATAGTGTTTTAATCTTTATTCAAGTAGCTCATTGAATATGAGTAGAGAAGCATTGAGTTAAATAGGAAAAGTGAGTTCCTTTCAGTGAAGTTTATCTCCCCAGACCTGTTCATGTTGTGGGACTTTCCTCACTTATGCTTGAGCCTTGTGCTCATATGTCATGTTATTAAAACTGCTGTCAAGGTTTCTTTCATTGAATATCTGCCAAGTTTCACTTTAGAGGAGCACTTCAGATAGAACAAACTAATGCAGGAAAAATCATGTCCTTCAATTGCTTTTCCTGCCAAGTTTTTTTGTAAAGCTGGAGGCAAAATACAGAAATGCCTTTTTCCTTCTTGCTACTGCCCATTTCTTTCATCCCCTCCCTCTTTATTCCATTTCTATTAAAAAATACCTCTCTGAAGTGAAGTTTATAATTTAAGGGAAAGGCATGTAATACCTGAGTTGAGTTCTGAATTGCTGAATTCCCAGCCTGTCATTCTCATCCACATTAAGTGGGCTCTTTGATCTGTGGGTGCTTAGCCTGGTGCACAAGGGCTCATTGGTCCTGTGCCCAGCCCACCTTGCTCTGGGCCTCAGGGCAGGGTGTTGATTCAGGGTGGGTGTGAAATGCCTGAAGTCTTGTATGATGATGCAACATCAGTGAGGTGTGCTGACAGACTGCCACCCAGTCCTGCAGTATTTCCTTCTGCTTGGAAGCATCGGGTCAACTCAGAGTATCAGACTGCTTGTTAGCCTTTAAGACAGTCAAATTCTGAGTGTGACTTTAGCCCGTACACTTTAAAACAAGGTAGATTTGGAGCCAGATATGTACTTTCAATTTTGTAGCGTCATTCATTCTTCTGGATTAGGTTTGGTTTGTAGCTTGCTTGGTTCATTTTGTATTTCCTTGGAAAGATGCACTCTTTACTGAGGAGAATGTCCAAAATCACATCCTCACACAGATCTACATTCGAAAATTAAAATGTTCATTAGGTTTATCCTACTGCTTTTGTTCACCACTCACACTTTCTGTCTCATACCCATTATGTCTGTGTGTTCCTTTATGGCAGTAAAAGAAAAATAAGGGAAGAGACTCATGTATGTGTACAATTGAGCTGACTGTGTGGTTCATGCAGGGAATATACTTGATTTATCAATATTCAATACCGAATAATCAATTCCAATTTCAGAGCCTTAAAAAAACCAAAAAGAACTGACATACAAATAAAATGTTTTTAACAAATTCTCAGAATATTAGAATAATTTTTTCCAGTAAGAAATAAGATAGAGGCAAATAACACTGTTTCTATTAAATTTTTCTGCCTTCCCTAGTTAAATTTTCTTGATTTGAAAGACAGAAGTGAAAATCCAAGCCTTCTCTAGAAGAAAGAAAATCTGTCAGTAGGATTTGTTCTCCTTGCAGCAGGCAGCTCTTGCAGGAGAGGGTTAGGTAACCTGCCCAAAGTGGGCTGTCTGCCCCAGCATCCTGGCACAGCTTGCATTCAGAGAAAAAAAGCTGGCCAGAGTAAATGCAGGTGTAGGAGAAGGTCACAGTACTGTAAATGTGAATCTGGCTACCTGCACCTTTCCATTGGTGTACGGGCAGGTTTCTGTCATGATAGGAGCCTAAACATTGGTCCTCAAGTCAGCAACAGAGTCAGCAGCAAGGAAAGTCTTTTCAAGAATATTCTATTTGAAGTAATTCTTTTCTCATTTCAAAGAATGGGAAATCACAATTTTCTGGATGGTTTTGGGCAATACATATGAAAGGCATTTGCAGCACTTTTTCTTTTTCCCCCTCTCTTTAGGTACTCTCCCTAACATACACCTCTTGATGATAAGTTGGTTTGCTCTATGATTTTATAATGACTTGCGCTTTTTTTTTTCAAATAGGAGTTCAAAGCCTGTGCTTTGCTTCCTAATGCTCAGCAACATCTTAAACCACTTGTAACTAGAAAAAGTGTAGGCCCATTATCCTTGGGTAAATTACTTTGCTGTAAATTGGCAACCTTAGGTCTATTGAAAGTGCATCAATTTAATGTCAGCTTCCTAAATAATAGTTCATATTCTTGCTTGAGTATTAGAAACTCTGGATTTTTGTAATATAAATTTTCATAAGTGAGACATGAAATTCACACACTCAGAGGCTTAGAGTGATCCATAGGTATCAAAAAACTGTTACTCCTTTTCTATTGGTCAGCCTTGGACTTTGCAGAATATCTGTTCTGCCCAAAAAATCTTATGACAAATGGTAAGATAAGGGATAAATCCAATAAAAAGTAGAGCATTAAAGAGGAGAAATTAAATACACAATTTAGAATTCTGTTTTGGGGAGGGTGTGGTATTTAGAATTAGGCTTTTTAAGAAGGAAAGTATGTCAACAATTGGAGAGGCTGAGATGTCTGTATAAAAAGGAATATATATATTATTCTTACCTGCAGAAGAATTGCAAGATAGTTTGGGAGAAGAAGGAAAGGTAATAAAAAGAGACAGTAGATAATATACAGAGAAAGAAAAGTGAGAAGACAGAAGTGTTTTAAGTTTATAAAAATGTTAAATTTGACCCAGCATATGAGAACACTGGAGGAATTTTTTTGCCTGTCTGGACACAAACAGAGCAGCTCTTAGTGTCTGTGAAAGAAACAGACTGGGGATCTGTGAAATGAAGGTCTGCAAAACCAGAGTTCAGGTTAGTAGAAGAATCCTGCAAGTAGGACTTATTACTAGATTGCTCAGTTTTTAGTTTCTGCCACTGGTTCTGTACTGTAGGATTCTTTGGGGTGAAAGATAAGGTGGCAATTTTATTTGTTCCTGATGTATTTCTTTTCTATTCAGGTTACACATTTGTTTGATAATGGAGGGACTGTCTTCTTTGCTATTTTCATGGCTATTTGGGGTAAGTACATTTTTATTTGTTTTGTACTTTTAGTTTACCCGATTCTTTCCTATGATTACTGGGTAAAGGGAGATGATAGCTTGATAACATTTAAAGAAGGATTATTATTTTGACACAAACCTTTTTATCCTTATTCAGCTTCAACTTCTATGCTAGTCATGACTGCCTATACTGTCTTAAATGTCTGTAAGCCTGAATTTTGTATAATCCTGATTGAAATCTTTTTTAGAGGCAAACATTTAGGTTAATTTACAGGTCTGGAGTCAATATAAAAATCGTGTTTTGTGGAGGATCCTTACAGAATAAATGAGAATGTTTTTGTGGGAGCTAATTAAAGGGAAGTATGGGAAAGATTTTATGTTAAATGCCTACTCCAATCCAACTACTTATATTTGAACTCTCAGTCTGAATATTTCATTGCATTCGCACTGATATCCCATGTGACATGTCATGGGGCACAAAGTCAAGCAGGGTGATATCCACAGAGGCCACTGTTAAACAGGACTTAGAACAGTTTTCCCTCTCTTTGAAGTGTAATAATGCCGCACAAGGCAGGTGTAATAGTTCCAGCCTGAAAGATGGATGGAATCAGCTTTCACTGAAACTAATAGTATTTTGCTGCCGGAAAGTAGGGAAGGCTGGTATTAGTACAAGAGATAATTAATTTTACCAATATAAATGCTTGTCTGTGTAAATCCTGAGAAGGTAACACCAGTTCATGTAGGTACAATTGTCTGAATTCAAACCAGAGTTTTACAGTTTTTAATAGAATCAAATGCTGCACAACATTTTTATTTATATAAGATGTACAAATAAGCATTAATGATTCTAACTTAAAGTGAAGGATGAACAAATGTCACAAATTTTGGAGGGCTGGTAAAAAAAAAAGACAAATATACAAACAACAGCAAAACATCAAAGAGAAACATAAACATGTGCACATACATACAGAAATCATAATTAGATTTTTAAAAATTAACATGATATAAATGTAACTGAAGGACACACTTTGCTTGCCTCAGTAATATTTCTTCATTGGCTCCTGATCTTGCTGTTACAGCCTTGCAATTACTAATAATTAGTTTAATAAATTCTAAAAATATATTGCACTTGATTATGCTGTTACTAACACAGGCAGTAGTTTTTTACTACCAGTAATAAACTGGTGGTTTCTTAGCATCTCTTAATCTCTGTCTTCAAGTTCTCCTTAGAGAGAGCTCTTTCAATTTGCAGCTGAGGCCAAGATTCATGTGTAATAAGGAATTTTGCTTATTTGCTACTGCTTTACCATTACGAGGAGAAATGGCATAATATGTGCTAAGGAAGATGAAAGCTGAACATTACATTAGTCTTAATTTCAAGCAGCAGAGAGATACTCTCACCTAATGCACGTGAACGTGTCTCAGATTTTCAGTCTGCTATCCAATGTGCTGGATAGAGCTAGAAATCAGGTTTTGGTTTTGCTGGGAAGTGAACCATAGTCTCCACGCCAAATAAAGCATTTTAACAGTCATATTAACAAGCACATATCCTATATGAGTAGTTTCTTTCTCTGCACTTCATTTTGTTTATTCTGTGTCATTACAGCTATTTCTTTTTCATGTTATTTCTTTTCCATTTAGATATGTCTGCTAATTGCAAACAGATAAGCTACACAATTATTTGCATTATAGTTCAAACATTTTACTCTATTTAGGATATCTATATACCTGGCATAGAGAATTCCTTTCCTGTAAGGATTAAGTATTTTTTCTCTTTAACCTCTACCAAAACCTATTCCATCATTTCTACAGATCTAGCCTGAAATGCGAACAAGAGATCAGTTTGACAGAGGAATAGCTTGTCATCTTTTTTTCCCCATCAGTAGTGATTTTAATTCTGTGTCATCATAGACAAAGGTTAAATGTAGTCCAAGTTACTCAATAGTTCCATTCTCCCACGCAAACTTCCATCTCTGAGTAATCCAAGTAAATCTAATACTTTTTGTCTTATTCACTGAGGATGGAACAAATGTAGAGCAAGGAAAATAATGTCCTGAGTCATTTATCAGATAGAAATCGTATCTGGACAGAACAGTTTCACCTCAAGATGGTTAAAATGGGTATTATTTTTTTTATTATTATTGCTGCCAAAACATCATTGCAATCCTAGTCAACTTTTGCTGCGTTCTTGACTGAGTTACACAAGGCAAAAATGTACCTAGATGCTGTTTGTCTGTATTATTTCTAAGAAGGCTGGTATAATATCCTTCCAGGAAAACCATCCGTTGATCATTTAACTACAAAGTACAAGAGAGATGCTCTACCTCTGGGCCCTCCCTGTTGTGTGTCAGTGTGTCTTGTGATTTTCCCCTTGCTTTCCAAACATCGTTTGCACAGCAAAGGCTGTAAGATAACAGCTGCCAGGTCGTTTTGGAAAAAAAGGAAAGGGTGTAGATAACAGGTGAGAATATAATCTGTAGATAAGAGATGAGAATATAACCTGAAGTGAATATTACAGCGAAGGGAGGGATGAGGCAATGTCAGCCATAGGAATGTCATAGGATGAGCTCCCTGCGTTGTCTTCCTCAGCCTTGTCTGCTGTGCTGGTGTTGCCATGGGGGACACATCCAAAACTGGTATCATATGGTCCAAGTGAGCTGTCTAAGTGGAGAACTGAAAGGATAATGTCATTAGTTTTTATATATTGGTTGAAATATTCTTATCCCCATACTCCGGTTACCTCATGGTTTAGTTCAGCAGTTCCTCGCAGCTAAATCCAGCTAACCTCTTTCTTGCATATGAGGGAGCAAACGATGAAGGCACTGATTCACAGTCTTCTGACGATAAAATGTTCTCCCAGTCATGCCCCTTCAGCACTACATGGGTGGTCACCTCTCAAAGCTAGGTTCTAATCTGACGTTCTGGCAGTTTTCAGCTCTTTGTGTTTAAGCCAGGAAGGGTGTATTGCCAGAGTTTTATTTTTGTTTGATTTTATATGAGAAAAAAATGTGTTTAGCCTCTCAGTGTTTGTTTAAACATTTAAAAATAAAGTCCAGGAACGTGATATAAATATTTGGAGACTGTGTGATTGCATATTGATACAACTTTATACATATTCATGAAGAAGATAAAAGCACTTTTTTGTTTAAGCCTCTTAAAAATATTCTTACTCGTAAAAACAGGTATAGTTTAATCCCTCCTTCTGTAACTGAAGTTGAGTGAGTATGATAGCTTTTTGTCAGTAAATCAAAGTTTCAGAGAGCTTTTGAGCTACAGTTTTGAACTCGCTGGGAATTCTTTGAACAGGTTCACTAATACTAGATACAACATTTCCTTATACTTTAGAGGTTAAAATAATAACTTGGAGGAGGCATAGAGTTAAGGGCATTGTGAGTAAAGCTAAAATTTAAAAATAATAAAGTACTGTCAGTTGAAAACTAGTTTAACTGGTGATGACTGTTTAATTCCTAATAGTTCAATAAGTTTTTGCTTACCTGGGTCATTCCTTGTATCATCATACAGCCGCCTGTGGGAAAATGACTCAGACCTTTTCTTACCCCATATCAAATATCCAATCAGACCAATGAATATAGATCCCAAAATGACTCCTACAGTGACACCGACTATTATTCCTACTTTGTTGGTTTTCTCTAGGAGAGAAGAAACAAGACACAGTTCAATGAGAACAATAAATGTGTAAGATCAAATACTTCACTCTGACTTTATAGCAGTCAAGGGCTTTGGGGAATGAAACTTTGCACCAATGATCTGAAACACTTTGCAGACTGTGACTAAACCAGCATCTCTGCAGAAACTCTCTGCCTTTGGAAAAGAAAACAAACATCTCTGTCCATGATTTTCAAGGGAATAACTGAGTGTTGGTGTGTGTGTTTTTTTAAAAAGGCTAAATAAGTTTTTAGTCAAAGAAAAAGGGTTCCAGGTTTAATTAAAGAATCAAGCACTATAGTTTTATTTAAAGAAGTAGTCAATAATCACTCTTTGAATGTAATAATTTGTAAGTATTTAAGCCAGCATTTAAAATTGCTGCCTCTGAATTTCAAGTGATTGAGTAGCAATTTTGAGTATGCAAGGTAAGGAATCCAGTAACATTTTCTGCACCTGTTCAGTTAGCAGGATAGCTGCATCCTTTCCAAGATTTTCCTCAGATTCATAAAACTTTCCTTCAAGGTGTTCTGTTTTTCTTGGAACTGAACTTTTCTTGAAACTTCCTTTCTGTCATGAAACTTTTCTGTCATGTTCTCTCAAAATCACGTGCATGGTAATTAATAAAACTGTGATGGGAAACATGAAAATCTGATGCTCCTTCAGTTCTTAGTACAAATTGTACTCACCTGGCTGTGATGGATAACCTTTCAGTCCTATGTTTAAAACCTGAAAGCTAACTCATGGCAAACAAATTACAATGTCTCCTAATCTTTTATTTTGTTGAAGACCAGATTTGGAGCAGCAAGATATAAAAGTGCCATAATAATTTTATGCTCCATTGTTTTCCCACGCATGCTCTACTTGGAACTATTCATAAGAAATCATCTTTGGTAGCAAAAGTCTCTTAACTGAATTAAGTTGAAATGATACATGTTTTAAATATTATTTCTATGCATCTGCTTGAAGGTCCACTGCAGTGTGAATGGAGAATACCTGTAATTGGGTTCCCCCACTCTTTGAAGTTTTGAACAATAAAACAGTAAATAATTTTTAAAGCCATTTTTAATTTGGGGGGAGTTTTAGTTATAGTCTGTGGTAGGTCACCCAGGGCTTAGTTTTGGGGCCAGTCTTGTTTAATACCTTATCAGTGATCTGGAGGAATGGACTGAGTAAGTCTCAAGACTACAAGTTGGCTAGGACTGTTGATCTGCTTGAGCGTAGGAAGGCTCTACAGAGGGATCTGGACAGGCTGGATTGATGGGCCAAAGCCAATTGTATGAGATTCAACAAGGCCAAGTTGTTGAGTCCTGCACTTTGGCCACAACAACCTCATGCAGTGCTACAGGCTTGTGG